TCTTAGTGCCTTTGATTCAGACAGAACTTATCCACTTCAGGTGCTGATCAGCTTCTTTCAAATCACAAATGTATGACCATGAATTCTATTACTTGAGAGTAGTCTGCTGATATGCATGTTTTGCTTTATTCTCAAACAGCTTGATTCTAGTAAAGAGTATCAGTATTTACCACCTACCCAGCCTCCGATTCGGCCTCCCTACCAGCAAGCCTGTCAGCTCCGCAAGAATAACCTGTTAGCCAAAGAGGACTCGCCCTCTGGCCCGCTTGATGATGCCCTGTCTGCTTTACATCTCAGCACAAGTCCGGACACGACCTCGGCCACATCAGGAACCTCAGACTAATGCACGTTATTGATTTGTACAGCTTCTGTTTAAATCTTTTTATTGTTTTATCATGATTGACCAACATTTATTTTTTCAGTTTTAACAACAAAAAAAAAAGCTTGTCACTGGGACATCTTTACAGAGCCCAGCATATGACATACGAAAAAAATGCATTGTGGCTGTGAGTTAAGAATTTCTTGTTTTAGTAAATCGTGGCCACGCTGTACATATTTCTTTCCTCGTTTTAGTTAAATTATGGCCATGAATTAAGAATTTATTCTCATGACTTAATTCATTCCCTTCATTTAGTAAATTGTGGGCACTTTGTACTAATTGGTTCTCTTGCTTTGATTGAACTAAAACAAGAGAACAAATTATAACAAAGTGGCTACGATTACTGTTTCTGTTTATGATTAGTAAAACGAAGGGAAGAAGTATTATGCTCATGATTTAGTAAAACGAGAAAACGCATTAGTAAAATGTGCTGACATACAGTATTGGTAAGTTGTGGACACGATTTCTATATTTTTCCCCCCGCATGTCATTTACACACCAAAAAAAGGCCCATAGTTGTACCTTAAGCTTATTACTACTTTTTTACAATTACTACTAATTATTACTACCGATATGTACCTTTTAGGGGTAGATGGGTACAGCGTTGACCCTATTAAGGGTACTGTCCCAGGGTTGTACCCCTAAAAGCTCTTTTTTTAATTATCATGTAAATGATCTTTTATGTATTTAATTGTTTCTGTGACTTATTACTCTCAAAATCCAAAAAGATTCTCCCTTGTGAATGTTTCTACGTACAAGTCGCAGAAACTACCTGATTGAATTTGAACTTTTAATTGCAGTTCTACACTTTAATAAAACATAATTATATCTACCTTAATGCAGAGTTTGTTGTTTTTATTTGTAGATACACTGTTTCAAATTAATTTTAAATTAATTCATTCTATTTTTAATTTGTCTCTGAAAGCAATTTAAGATTATTTAAAATAGCCTTTTTTTTAAATCTCAGATTTAAACTAAGCAGATTTGACTAATGCAGATTTTTTTGTTTTTGTAAAAGTTTTTGAAAAGTTAAAAAAAGCCATCTCAAGCGTGCAAGTTAAAAGATCTACCATCTGTTTCCTTTTTATTCACTTGCTCAATGGTCCATGGCGTAATACGTAATTCTTATCTGTAGTATTTTTCACAGTCTGCATATAGCATAACCTTTTTTATTTACCTGCATTCTGCTTGAGCCTGATGAGGTCTGTTCTAAATTATGCTTTAATATTGTCATATTTAGTTGTAAGTAATTTAAATACAAGTGGAGTTGTTAGATGGTCATAGATGATAGGCCACGAAAAATCAGTCATGCAGAGAACCTTTACAGTGTTGGAGTGGGGGCGAAGCTGTACGCAAAATGATCAATCATGCATCCTGTTCGTCAGCATTGACATGCTAGATATTATATGAAGACCTGATAGTCTTAACAGGTGGAGCTGTATCCGCTTGAACACATGAAATTATGATCCAGCTGTTAATATTCTGTAAGTACATTTTAATTGTACATGTATTGAGTATTAGTCTGATTGACATCTGTGTTTTCTCGCACTGACTAACAGCTGCTTATTTTTCAGTGAGTCTTACTGCCAAATCATCAAATGCAGGTATGTGGCAAATCTTGTGTTCATTTATATTCAATTAAAATGATGGTTTTATTATGCAAGGATGATTCAAATGGCATCAACTTTTACAGAAACTGTATGTATGTTTTTCATATTTGTAATATGTATCATTCAACCACCATTTACAGATCTCTCTATTAGTCTTGGAGAGATAACTCTCAGTGGCTGGACTGATCTGACATGCTGTGACTTCGAACAGGCTTTACCACAGTGCTTTTTCTACGCTGGATCAAGAAACATTGGCCATCGAAATTCCTCTGAGCATTGCTGTAAGCTCACTGTCAGTGGAGAAGAACTGTTACTGGGAAAAGCTGGCGAAGAGCTCCAAACGACAATTATCGTCCACTGTAAAAGCAAACCTGAAGACAAAATGGGCCAAAATGTCACCATTACAGTGTGGAGGCTATGTAAATTCCATTTAAACCATTTTATGCTGCACATAAAATGACTTTGTGGACTCAGGGAACATTTTTATCAATTTAAACTGCTTTTCCTTTTGTTTCCATCTTTAGCTTTTTTTCGCTTTGTTTTTCTGGTTCTGGGGACACTGATTGTGCTCTCTTTGCTCATCATCTTCATCATCATATTCATATGTATTCTCTACATGACCAAAAAACAAGGTAAGTCATGTTCTACTGTATGTTTACTTCTGGTTATGATTTTACACCAAATATTTTAGATGCATAGGTTTTTATATAGACAGTGGGCCAATCAAAATACCATTTTATTACTGCTCGATGTCTTCAGTAAAGTTGTTCTTTCTTTAGGGTATGGACAAAACCAAATTGCAAATTCTGGTACTGTTGAAGTGCAGGCAGAGAAAACAGAGGTATGTAATTAATGTCATTAATATTTTTTAAAGAATCATTAAAACCCTGTAGGAAGTCATAAAAATATACATTTACTTTGAATGATTTCATGTAACAATATCTGTAAAAAAATATATATATATTTAAATGAAAAATTTGTGATGATGCATTTTAACAGAAACTTTTAACTTTTTTTCCCCACAGATAGTAGAGGATGAACTATTGTACGCCACAGTGAATCATTCAGGTGCTAGTGAAAAGTTTGCTGCAGTGAAGTATGAATCAGGAACTGACTACGCCACAGTGGTCATACACTGAATTACCTGCAACACAGGATGAAAAAAGTATTTTTGAGGATTTAAATCACCATTAAAAACAGCATGCCGTGAACAAATTTGCCACAACACAATTTTTGATGTAACTTACGTATAAGATGTTAAATAAAACTTGCATGAAAGAAAATGTTCATTCCGAATGTTTAATACAAATCAAGAGAATAAATTAGCAGTGGACTTGACATGTTTGCTACAACTCCACTCTTTCCAGCAGGGAAGTGTATTTTACTTGAAACTCTTCTACCATTTTGTAGATTGAATCCCCACAAAAATCATACTGTAGGTAATAGGATAGGTTAGGATACAAAACAAAAAATACTTATACCCCCGGTTTCACAGACAAGGCTTATTCCCAGACTAAAATGCATATTTGAGCTGTTTAAACTGAAATAAATTTGCACTAACACGTCAGTGCTATTGTTTTGTCTCAAGATGCACCAGTAATGTTTTATATGAGGCTATATAAGGCACGTTTATAAAAGCTATAAACTAACCCTAATCCTGGTTTAATCTAAGCCCTGTCTGTGAAACCGGGCCATATCATTTCAGGAAACCAGACATATTCATTTCACATGTGTCAACAGACACGCATGCACATACACACATATAATGTTGATGTTCTATCAGTTAATTTAAGCCTAAACAATTAAAATGTGTTACAAGAGTGTAGGGAAATATTCTCATTATGTCCTCGTCTGACTGTAGTTGTGGTAATTGAAAACGTGCAGTGTTGCCGAGAGTCCACTAGATGGCGAAATCTGCTGTTAGCAAACCAAGATTGAGCTCCACTAACTGACGAAATGCAAAGAAGCCGACTAAATGTGTTAAAAACAAAAAACAACAACAGGCTATGCAGTGGTGAATTCGTTTTGTGAGTATAACTATGATTAAAACTAGAACAGTGTGATATTATCAGGCTTTTCTAATTACAGCGCAGAAGCTACAGAATATGCCATTATAACAATGGAACGTGTAACGATAAAGTTGGCAGTGGCTTCCTAAATTAACTAGCCCACGAACATCCCTGGAGAACTTGAACGCACCATAATTGTGAATTTTACTTCAGACTGAACGAACATCCAGTACAGAAAAAGAGCGGGTTGTAAGTTACACTACAAAGATCACGCTGCACTTTGAACTAACAATTTCTACGATTAATGTTGCACGCAGTATGTTTTACAGAGAAGATACAAATCATATCAGTGGCCTCCAAAATTATATTTATTTTTCATGCAACAAGTGGTCTCATGGTGGCAGCCATGTTAGCTAACTTACTCGCTTTACTGCAGGTGTGTCCAAACCATAGACTGTAAGGTCCAAACTCGCCCCCAACTTTCCTGCAGAGTAGCTCCAAACTGTCTCAGCACACCGGCCTGGAAGTTTCTAGAATGCGACCTTGAGTTGGTTGTTCAGGTGTGTTTAGTTGGGGTTGGACCTGGAGCTGAACTCTGCAGGATAGTGGCCCTCCATGAGTAGGATAGGACACCCCTGCTTTAGTGGGATAAACCTAATTATGGATTTACCTATAAACCTAATTTACCTATATTACCGATAAACCTAATTATAGATTTAATTATAGATATTGCAATAACTCTACTATACAGCGTAGTTGATAACTAAAAACTTTGGCTTTTGTGAGAAATGACATTCTCACCATTAGGTGTCTGTATAACTTTAATTGTCAAAAAACAACTTATATATTGTCCAGCGCAACAGAAACCCATGAGGTGTATGACCCCTTAAGAAAGCTTTCGATTTGCTTTCCAATTCACCAGTGCGGGCTGCGCTTTAAAATCTGCCAGCTATGCACACACTTCGGGTTGTAGTTGTTTATGTTTTATCTATCTGAGCTGTAAATTCCATGTTAATCACTCCGAATCCAGAGTGTGACTTAATCATCTAAAATTAGCCCAATTACCAGATTTCCAAGTATGTGATACCATATTATACAACCTATGCTACATTTCTTACCATATATGTAATGCAAACAATTCATACGACTTTCACTGTAATCCCAAACGTTTCCCCATTCCTGAAGGAAATCAGTGGATCATACTAATTAGAGGAATGGAAATCAAGCAGATGAAGGATAATGTACAGCCTTGTGTCATGACAAGCATAAATAAATATGACTGATCCGTCTGAGGTCACATGACTCAGCCATGATTCTCAAAGGCAAACGCTTGCGCCGGCATTTCACTTCAGATGGGCTCCGAATTGTAATGCACTGGCTCCTTTTTACATAACTGCTATTCCGCAAGCCCACATTTTGCACAGTATTGTAACATAAACGGAAATAATTAGCACACTGTACCCCACTTGTTCACCAGTAACATGCAAACATTTATCAGTATGAATTACAATAAAGGCTACAAGAGAAGAACAAACATGTGAGCTCTGGGAGGCATCCAGATTATTCCATAAGGTATCCCCTGACATACCTCAGTGCAAAAAAAACAAGTGACTTTTCAGCCTATCTTTCTCTCTTTGTCATATACGCACCCTCACGTTGTCTTTCCCCATACTATGCAGATGTAAATGGAGCGAGTTACTGCATAAACAACAATGCATGAACCCATTCTCATGGAAAACCAGTCTGATGAGAGACAGAGACAGAGAGAGACTGTACATGCAGTTTTTATGAGGTAAGCTGTAATAGCTCAAAACCATTTTCATTCTTAGCAATCAGAGGGGAACCTGCCTTCGACTAGAACCAGAAAATGAATCTAACTTAATGCTGTAATTGGTGGTGCGAGAGGCAAATATACAGTTAATGATCAAACAAAGATGGGTTTCTCCTTTCAGTCTGTGTGGAAACAAATCATTAAAATGTGAACTTGTGATTTATGTGATTTACATTCTGCAGATCTGCACAAAGAAAACGACAAAACCAACAGACGTGCGGTAAACAGTTGGCTGAGAAAAATGGGAGACTGTGAGTGAGAAAGAGAAACGGAGGGAGAAATATCGAGCTGCTGCAGTATCCTTACACTGTTGAGCCTTGGACTGCGTGACTGACTGGTGTGTGGTGAGAGAGAGAGAGAGAGAGAGAGAGAAGAAGGGAGGGGGGATGGGAAGGATCTGGCTTGGATGAGGAGCAAGCAGTCAGGCAAGCAGCAGCATCATCTCTTTTGTGGCGTGCTGCTGAGGGAACTGGCCGCCCAGAGCCGTGTAGGGCGCTTACTCCTCGCAGGCGCGCACAGCGCCACCGCCTCTCCCGCACTGGCCGCCGCAGGGACAGCCTCCTTCACAGGCGTAGCACCGCTTGTTGCAGCGGCACCATGGCGCAAGCCGCTAAGCAGCTCCGCAAGAACAAGGACCTACAGGAGCTCGCAGCCCAAGAGCTGCGAGAGAAGGAGGAGGAGAAGAACAAGAAGAGGAACCGATCGAGAGACCGCAGACGCAAGGTAAAAAACCCATCCTGCTTGCTCCTTCCTCTTTTTTCCCTAGTGAAGGGAATACGCACACACCTTTACACATATCACTGACTCATTGTGTTAACCAGTCAGCTAGAACTGGTCGTTCACAGATTATGTTTAAAGAAGGTGCTTGTCTGGTGGGGTGGACGAGGGGAGGGGGGGGGGGGGGGTCATGACTGAGATGATTGGATAAGTAGCCCCTCGATCCTCAGGGAACATCCCGTTTGATCGATTTACAACGTTGTTTTTGAAATGAGGCTGCATCAAAGCAGACCTGATTGCTTTATTTATTCAGATGCCGCTCCATTGTTTATCGCGTTCCACCGCGTATTACACCACCTAGTGAATGCACATATCAATGCCGTAAGCGTGAACTTTGGCAGAACGTGAGCGTAATGTCTACACCTGCCTCTGCCGCCCATTCTCATTACAGTATGAGGGAGCTGAAGTGCACTATGGGAGCTCTGCTGCTTTGTGCCCTCTGGCTGCCTTCTTACTTACCTTACCTTCGACAAATGTGCATGTGATGATGTATGGTCGCATGCATGCAGGTTTTGGGTTTACACGTGACCGAAGATCAGCAGAGACCGGGGTGATGACTCTACTCCCGTCTGCTCACCAAGGCTCATAAAACCTGTCAGCTTCGCATTTATCAGCGTGCTCGTGTAACTACGCGATCGGGCAGAGATATGTGGCCGGCGGTGGTAGAATGTCAGCATAGCGCCAATTAACAGAAGAACCGAGATGCTGAGGCGCAAGCAGTGACACTGAGAGCGGAAAAAAAAAGATACCGGAGTCTAAAGATCACTCTGAGGGCTGTCCTTGAGGGTTGGCTGTTTAATCTTCAGTGGGACGTCTGATGAAGCATTTGTCAAGGCTGTCAGTGACCTCTTGAGATTAGGGGTCTGAGAAATTGAAGTCGGGACGTGTTTTGATTTGATTGAAATAGCGTTGGTTTTAATAACCGGTTTAGGACTCACTCTTGAGTATATTGCAAGCCTTGAACTTCTTTCATAATCATGTAATTAGACATAATTATGTTTTGCAGGGGTGATTTAAATCAAAAACTCAAAATGCAGATGTTTATATTTGTTTGCTAGGGCCTAATATTGTGTGATTTTATAGTAAAGCTAATGCGTGATGCAAATGTTTGTATGAGCTTTACTGATAATTGTGCAGCTGCTGGCATAAACTAATGCACATGTGTGCAACTATTGGTACGCAGAAAGGTAAACAATTGGCACACATGTAAAAACAGGAATATGATTAAAATTGTGCTGTTTATTTTAGAAATGTTCAGAATTCTATTACTAAATAAAACATTACAATATGAGTCAAACTTTAAGAATCGGATTATACTCCGTCTTGCGATTCAAATTCAAATTGAGCGATTTAGCGGATGTAGCAACAGATCTTTTCTTCCGTAGTGAAATAAACATATTTAAAAAGAAAAAAAACTGCTAGGCAGGGGCTTTGGGTCCTGGGATCGGTTGTTGATTAGATTTTGAGATGTTGGCGTTGCACTTAAAGATTAAGCCTATGTTAACTTGCTGTGTTGATTGTGGAAGGGTGGGGTTTAAAGGGACGGTACACCCAAGAATGAAAATTCTTTCATCATTTACTCACCTTCAAGTTGTTCCAAACCTGTATGAGTTTTTTTCTTTTGCTGAACACAAAATAATATTTTGAAGAATATGGGTAACCAAACAGTTGCTGGACCCTATTGACTTCCATTTTAGTCAAGTCAGTACTGACATTCTTCAAGATATCTTCTTTTGTGTTCAGCAGAAGAAAGCAACTCATACAGGTTTGGAAAAACTTGAACGTGAGTAAATGAAAGAAATTTCATTTTTGGCTGTGTTGTCCCTTTAAGTGAACTAAATGGTTGCCGCATATCACCACAGAGAAGTTTGTTGCTTTCACTGGAAGTTTTAGTTAAGACATTTATTTTAATTAAACATTACGAGATTAAATGTAAGAAGGAAAAAAAAAAAAGAAACGTACACATACAGGATGAATTTATTCACCATTTACAAAGTACACTCACCGGCCACTTTATTAGGTACACCTGTCCAACTGCTCGTTAACACTTAATTTCTAAGCAGCCAATCACATGGCGGCAACTCAGTGCATTTAGGCATGTAGACATGGTCAAGACAATCTCCTGCAGTTCAAACCGAGCATCAGTATGGGGAAGAAAGGTGATTTGAGTGACTTTGAATGTGGCATGATTGTTGGTGCCAGAAGGGCTGGTCTGAGTATTTCAGAAACTGCTAATCTACTGGGATTTTCACGCACAACCATCTCTAGGGTTTACAGAGAATGGTCCGAAAAAGAAAAAACATCCAGTGAGCGGCAGTTCTGTGGGCGGAAATGCCTTGTTGATGCCAGAGGTCAGAGGAGAATGGCCAGACTGGTTCGAGCTGATAGAAGGGCAACAGTGACTCAAATAACCACCCGTTACAACCAAGGTGGGCAGAAGAGCATCTCTGAACGCACAGTACGTCGAACTTTGAGGCAGATGGGCTACAGCAGCAGAAGACCACACCGGGTGCCACTCCTTTAAGCTAAGATCAGGAAACTGAGGCTACAATTTGCACAAGCTCATCGAAATTGGACAATAGAAGATTGGAAAAACGTTGCCTGGTCTCATGAGTCTCGATTTCTGCTGCGACATTCGGATGGTAGGGTCAGAATTTGGCGTCTACAACATGAAAGCATGGATCCATCCTGCCTTGTATCAACGGTTCAGGCTGGTGGTGGTGGTGTCATGGTGTGGGGAATATTTTCTTGGCACTCTTTGGGCCCCTTGGTACCAATTGAGCATCGTTGCAACGCCACAGCCTACCTGAGTATTGTTGCTGACCATGTCCATCCCTTTATGACCACAATGTACCCAACTTCTGATGGCTACTTTCAGCAGGATAATGCGCCATGTCATAAAGCTGGAATCATCTCAGACTGGTTTCTTGAACATGACAATGAGTTCGCTGTACTCAAATGGCCTCCACAGTCACCAGATCTCAATCCAATAGAGCATCTTTGGGATGTGGTGGAACGGGAGATTCGCATCATGGATGTGCAGCCGACAAATCTGCGGCAACTGTGTGATGCCATCATGTCAATATGGACCAAACTCCCTGAGGAATGCTTCCAGCACCTTGTTGAATCTATGCCACGAAGAATTGAGGCAGTTCGGAAGGCAAAAGGGGGTCCAACCCGTTACTAGCATGGGGTACCTAATAAAGTGGCCGGTGAGTGTAGATTGGTTTGCTTGTTCACCCTCTAGAATGTCAATATAGCACAGTGATTGCTATTAAAAATGGCACTTCATGAATTGTGTCACAAGGATTGCTCTATTTGGTGTCATTGAAAACGTGTCAGTTTCGCTGAGGCCTAAAAGTGTTTTGGACGACTCGTGGCCTTGTGAGATTTCAGCTGTTGGTGGACAAACAGTAGTGTTGGGATTTTTACACCTCCCTGAGGTGGAGGTCCAGAGAAACAATGATGTTGAGCACCCACAGTGTGAGATGCAGAGAAACTGGCTGTGTTTCGACTGCATACTGCACAGTATACTGCATTCTGGAAAATCAGTCACAACAACAAAAAAACCTTGCAACATTTAATACGCTTTATTTTTGACACATGACCTTATAGATTTTATGTCACATTTTAATTTTAACTTGCTGTTAATTCATCACACTGGAAATGTACTGGTAAAGTTAATATAGTATCTAGCTCAGTGTCTGTATACTACACATTTTAGCATAGGTCATGGCTCATGTTGGTATACCATGCATACATTTAGTTTTCTGTACACAGCATGCATACTGCAGAAAAGTAACAGTATGCTACTCTTAACATATCATTGGCTAAAGGCAGAAACAGATGGATCAAATTGCCTTATATTGGTTATTTAACTCTTAATGGTCTATAGTGCATAATTAAGTAGCTGCATTGGTGCTTTGTATCCTTTTTACTTATTAAAGATGGTATCTAAAGTAGAGCTGCTGTTAACAACATAGCAGTGCCTCTTTGCTGATCTTGCTTTATATAGATAAGATCTATGCATCACATTCATATGTCTTACACACAGCCTGGCCCAGATTCCCATACATCAGAGAGCATGCATTTTGTCTTGTTACCTAATAGGAAAAGGCAGGAGAAGGTGAAGTCACACGTGTCCGTGAGTACCTTCAGTCACATGCTGTATTTATTCCGTGCCTGAGTCCCTACCAATCTGTCCGTGATCCTGCCAACTTGAAGGGATGCATTGCCCAGGATTCTGGAAGGTTCAGTTGTGATATATGGGGAGATGCTTTTGTGTTGGCATGTTTACACCACTAGAGGCAGCAGACTGGGAGAGAGAGGTGAAATATAGCAGCATAATGTCAGAGATCAGGGTTAGCCCAAGTGCATTATAATTAAATACCTTCTGTGGACGTAATATGATATGACCACATTTACCATTAAAGCCGCACTGCTTATCTTTAATATATCTATTGCTGATAAAGGCCTAAATGTCTCTGGATGCTTACCTAGACCAAAAATAATTAAATACCCATATACCTGTGTGTGATCGAATATTACTGGACGGTAATACGGAGAAATCAAATTGATTAGGACTTCAAAAGTCAAATTTCTTTGTCCTTGCTACATTTTCGCTTTAGCTGTATTAGAATGGTAATGTTAGGAAAATTTTACACAAAAGTATCTGAATGATTTCTATTACAAACCCAGAAATCATTTTTTATCATTCTCTTTCATCAAGATATCAGTAATGTGCACTGTTAACATTGAGGAATACATACTGTAGTGTTTCACAACCCTATAAAAGTTACAATACACTGGAAATTCACTATTTAAAAGATCTATGATGCTCTCAGAAAAAAAGTTCATTTGTATTCTCATGAAATGATTTGGTACAGTCAAGGCACTCAAATAGCTATTTGTCATTGAAGCTTCTCAATTTTTTATTATTATTTTTT